TTTTTTTTTTTTTTGGAAAAAACTCCCAGCTAATTAGCAAACTCAAACAGGACAATATGTTTAAGAAACTGAACATATTTAGATACATTGCATGAACAACTATTGATATTTTATAGATCAAAGTACACCTTTGCATCCTTTGCTTAGAAAGAACATGTTTATATAAATGCAATATAATTCCAAGGATGCCAACACATTAGCACCACGGTTCATGCATCCTTGGAAGTTTTTTTAGAATTAAATATTTTAATATCTAAAAGTTACATTAAATTATAATTAATTTAGAATTAAACTGCATCAAACTAAATAAAAAAGAAATTATTTTAGTATTTATTTTTTTATTTACAAAATTTAAACTCGAAACTTTATTTTAAAAAAATCAAAAATTTTCAATTCAAATCAACAAATTCTTAATAATACATCTTTGAAAGTTGTTTGAGTTGAAACCAAGCTAATATATATTAATTCAAGGAAGTTGTGTTTACGGTCTTCCTACACACATGACCTAACTGCCCACCGCTCCTTTTACAATTGTTTATGTGAATCCCAAGCTTCAATTATAAAGCAGCTTATTAATTACATTTAGACTTGGTCTGCTGAATCAACAGCTTGGGGCAACGCACACACTTTGGATCCAAGCATCATTCCAGCCTGTTGTAGCCTACAGTGGAAACATTTTGCTGTTTTTCTATAAAAGACAAGAAATTGAAGTCATGCATGCCCGACAGTTCTGACTTTTTCATTAACAAACTGCTATTAGTGTCATAAGTATCCTCATAATCAATATATCAGAATAGTTGACATTCAACGCACGAACTCTTAAACTAATTGGCACTAGAGTGAAGGCCAAAAGTAGACTCGATATCATCATAATCAGATTTTGAAGTTTGTAGATACTGAAAATAAGTTTAGATCTAATTTGAAGAAGTGATATTTTATGTTGGAATATTATACCTTGACGCAATAGCTGTGATGGAGTGCATCTTAATCCCAAAAATTCCTGTATGTTCAAAAAAAAAAAAATGACAAGTACTGGGAGACCATAGGTTAATCTCTTGCCTAATTTTAAGCATATATATGTACGTAAGGCTACCCTGGACATTTCTTTGACCGTTGACGAGTTAAGCTGCATATAATTGGTGAGATAAAATATTTTAATATGTGAACATGCATTGTAGGCAAGCCATTAAATAAGCTTTGACGTTCCAACAAATTAAAATGGAGTGTATATGCAATCCTCATGTGATCCAATGGTGACCATACTGTTTATTGAGCAGCAGGTGAAATGTACTCAATTTTAATATTTGAACTTTTCATAAAGTAACAGATACTAATATTTAATCGAATTATTTTTTCCTAAAACAAAAAATGAAGTGTATATATATATATATAAATGAAAAAGTGTTTTTTCACCGTACGCATTGCACTTGACTGCAAGAAATTATTCATTGAATTAAGAAGAGTCTATAACATTAGGGGAGAAACCTCCATTCATAAAGACCATTCACTGCATTAAGAGGAGTATATAATATAAGAGAATTAGGCGTCAATTTAATAGTTAATGTTTTGTAATTTAATATAATTTAGATAGTAAAATACCAAACTTATATATAAATATTAAATACGGATATGTCTTGCTATCTTGATAACGCCTAGTTGCATATTTAAATCTATTCTCTGTTAATGCAGCGCATTCCCAGAAATCCTTCCTAAAAAGTAGAGGAGGACAGTCTCCGTTGTCTCGGAAATTAGGCCAAATTTGACTCGTTAAGGACTGTTAGAAAGCCAGGCATTTGTTTCTGGCTATAAGATGGTGCGGATCTCTTCAGAGGGAGACAGAGTATCTAAGGGAGAGCTAATGGCAGCTGCCAGAGAATCCAACAAAGGAACTGAAGCTGTTTGTGAAAATGTTGCAATCATCTTTGGGGTCACCGGCCTTGTTGGAAGGGAGCTAGCCAAAAGGCTGGTTTCAAAGCCCAAGTGGAAGGTATATGGTGTAGCTAGAAACCCTGAAACTTTCCCAATCCAAAGTCCTAAATACCATTTCATATCCTGTGACCTGTTAAATTCCCCGGAAACCTTACAGAAACTCTCCAGTTTACATGATGTCACTCATGGATTCTGGGTTACTTGGGCTAACCAGCATCCTCTGGATAGTCCAGAGTGTTGTGAGCAGAACAGGGCAATGCTTTCCAACTCCCTGAATGCCATCCTCCCTGCATCCAAGGCATTGAAGCATTTTTCGCTTCAAACAGGTATGAGCCATTATGCAGCATTTGAAGGAGAAAAGAACGTTGGTTTCTTTGACGAAGAAAGCCCGAGGATGAGTACGGGATGCAACTTCTACTACGTGTTGGAGGACTTGCTGAGTGAGACGCTAGATGGTAAGGTTGGTTGGTCTGTTCATAGACCTGGCGTAATTCTGGGTAGTTCTCACAGGACTCAGTTTAACTTCATTGGGAGTTTATGCGTATATGGTGCTATTTGTAAGCATTTGAATTTTCCCTTTGTTTTTGGTGGGACAAGAGAGTCTTGGGAGGAAAGTTACATCGATGGCTCCGACGCTCGGCTGGTAGCAGAACAACACATTTGGGCAGCCACAAATGAGGAAATCTCTTCAAGTTATGGTCAACCGTTTAACTCGATCAACGGAAGGAGTTTTACATGGAAGGAGATGTGGGCAAGTCTTGGACGGAAGTTTGGGGTGGAGGTTCCTGAAGAGATGTTTAAGGAGGACTTCTCGTTCACAAAAGCTCTAGGAGACAAGCAGAAGGTATGGGAAGAGATTGTGGGGAAGGAAGGACTCGTTCCGACCAAGATGGAAGATTTGGCGAATTGGGAATTCTTGGATATATTGTTTAGATACCCTGCAAAGCTGCTGGGGAGCAGGGAAAAAACAGATCGGCTTGGCTTTACAATGAGATATAAGACCCTGGATTCAATCTTGTATTGGATTGATTTGATGAGAGATGAAAAGTTCATCCCTTAGAATTCCTCAGTTTATAAGCTCTTTGTTAATTGTTCCAAAGAGCTTGTCTTGACCACTCTGGGAAAATAAATAGCAGTACTCATAAGTTCCTGGTCAAGGGTGCTGCCTTTTCCATTCTTTACTATTTCTCCTTGAGACTTTTCTTTCATCTATGAAGTGGTTTACTGACAAATCAAAGAATGCAGATGTTTTCTTCCATAAACAAGTTCCAATCTTTGTAGTTTGCACTACCATATGAGAGACTGAAATACTAAAATGCAATTCTGTTTATGTCAATCCTCTACTGTTTCAATGATCTATATATAACGAGTAATTCCTGTGTAAGATGGTTCAGATTATCAAAGATCGATCTGGGGAAACAGACGAACAGAACCAGTGCTTCTGCATTTTCAACGATGATTTTATTTTGGTGTCATCTTCCTGCTGCAAAGTTCCCCTGTATCTTTTGTCAATCTGGTCTCAACATCAAGATTGTTGTACGAGAGATCTGACAATGTTGATGCAGTGCTTTCCCCGTCTTAAAATTCACCGCTCATCTTCTCTGGAAGTTGAGGAATTTTACTGAGAAAGCATATACACTAAAGAACAAGATGCAGAAGCCAAGAAGTACAGCCACTGAAACCCCTATCATCCCAGGACCAAAGCCAAGACTAACTTCCAAATACTCTTTCACGGAGCCTTGAAATCCTGGTTCAACAATCATGGTCTCCACATCTCCAAGCTGGGAGGTGATGATGCCCCGTAAAGTCCATGCAATTGGACAGATGTAGTAGAACCAGATCCACCATCCAGGTATACTCTGACATTACCAAAGAAAATGAGGCTAGTAAGATATCAAAAGGCTTCTGTGAAACTTATTGGTCCAAGTCTAACTATGCTACTTAAGCAAACATAATTAGATAGAAAATTCTATATATTATAAAATAAAATTAAGGAGAAGCAGAAGAATATTTTCATTAACACAGTTTAATGCATTGTATTGCTTACTGGTTTTGGGATAAGAAAACCTGACAGGAGATTCCATAAAGAGTAGAAGGCAGAAGAAACAACAGCCGCGAAATGTTGAGAAGGTGTGAGACCAACAACCATCATGCCATAGAAGGTAAAGTACGTGAAAGTAAGGAACATGAAAAGAAGAAAGAACAAAAATTTTCCTGCAATAGCAGAGAGATTCTCATAAGAGAATTGCATTGCTAAAGTTGTTTTACATATCATCTCACCAGGCAAAACAACCCATATTTTAGAATTAGAAATACTAAAGACTTCATTCTTTATTTCTTTCTTCAATGGGTCAGCTCTCCATAATAAGAGTTGAAGATAGGTCCATCCAAGTAGATTAACATAATAAAATGACCTTTACAACAAAATATAAGGCTAAAAATCCCTAAAGGAAAAAATACGTACAAGCAAATTAACATAAAAGTGTGTGTGTGAGGCTGAAAAACGACATTGCTTTCATTTCAAGGAGTGAACCAGACATGTTTCTATAATCACATTGTCAAAAATTAACTTCAGAGGACAATATGGTGTAAGCTTAGAAACAAATCAACTCCTAATAACATCCAAACAGCTTTAATTAGAAAAAACAGGGAAATGCCAATGTTAGGTTTCCCAAATATGATAGGAACATAATCCTCCATCAAATTTCCAAGTAATATCTAATCTCTAGCTTTGCTTGAAAATGCAGAAAAAAGAAAGAAAAAA